TGCTTCTCGTCCCCGCCCGCGCCGAACCTCGATTCTCCTTCTCGGCCCCGCGCACGTCGTTCTCTGGTTCTCGACTCCGCCCGTGTTGTTTTCTGGGTTTCGTTCTCGCCCGCCCACTTCGCAATCTGGTGTTCGTCCCCGCCCGCACCGAACGTGCATTCTCCTCCTGGTCCCCGCCCTTTCTGTATTCTGGTCTCGTCCCCGCCCGCCCTGGGCCTGGATTCTCCGCCTTGGAGACGGTTTCCCCAACTGTTTGGAATCTGAGATGGGCGTGGGACCGGGAAGGCCTGGGCGCAGGAGATTCCTGGTAACAATAACTTCAACCACCACAGCAGGCATGAGAATAACTATATCAGGTCCTGCCTTAGGGCCTTAGCACATGCTGCTCAGCTGCCTAGGACAGTTTTTACACCGTCTGTGTCTAGTTAACCCCTGCATCCTTCAGGATGTAACGCCCTCAGAGAGGACCCGATAGAACTACCAAGTTTAGCAAATAAAAATACAGCCCTCCTAGTTGAGTGTGAATTTTAGATAAACGAATATATTTTTAGTATGTCTCAAATATTACACGGGAAAAGCTATACTAAAACGTTGCTCATTGTTTATCTGAAATTCACATTTAAATTGTCTGTATTTTGCCTGTCACCCGGACTCCCTGACCATCCTGAGTAAGTTTCTCTGTTAGACTGAGGGCCCAGCAAGGGTAGGGACCCAGACTGATTCTCGGCGCTTGATGTATAATTTTAACAGATGGAACAACTTGGAGAATGCGGATGTCATCTTTCATCCCTCTTTTACAAATGAAGAACAAACAAAACAAAACACAAAATCGAGGAGGGTGAGGCGCAGGGTGGATTAAAAAAGAATGTTTGATTCTTCCCAAAGTATAGGCGCGCCGCCCGCCCGCTCTGTCCAAGAACCAGAGAATTTTCCGTGCGAAAGCGCCCCCGGAGATCCCGCCCATCCAGCGCCTGGAATTCCACCATCAGCGCTTTATTCTGCGAGCCAGCGCTGTCCTGGGTTAACCTGAAAGTAATCTCTGAGATTCCCCTTTCCAGCTTTCGGGGAGCCAGAGACAGCCTGGACACTCAACTCTGCAGGAGCAGACGTGGGCCAGAGTAGTCCAGAAGGGAGAGAGGGCTGTTCTGCGTGTTCCAGGAAGTCTTCCTTGCGAAGGGGACCTTGGAGCTAGGCACTGAGGATGAGTTTGTCAGATGAGGAAGGGTATCCGAGGCCGAGGGAACGGCGGAAGGGAAAGCTGGGGAGGGGCGAGAAATTGTAGCGTTCCAGGAAAACAGGTAGAAGTCTTCCCAGATGTTTGGACAAGATTTTCTCAGGGCCAGTGCATGGGTTCCCCGGAACTCATCCCTCCCAGCTACTGAGATGCTCTTGCTTCCCCTAAGGCTATGTAATGGCCAGATGAAAAATACGGGACTCAAGCCCTCGCCCCTCTGTAATTCCCACGGCCCTGTGCCAAGCCCAGCCCTTCCTTCTACCCTTCATTTCCAACGACTAGGATCCCCGCCTCTCTAGGATCTGAAAATCCTGTCTAATGTTGCCGGAGGAACATTATTTCGCTGCACCCTGGCGAGCAGCCCCTTTGCCTCTTTCCCTGGCCTCAGCCAATAGAAGAGGAGAGCTTCAGGGGGTAGGCAGTACCATCTTCTAAGGGGCCCAATAGTAATCGAGAGTTGTTGAGCACTGTAAGAATCACGCCGCGGAGTGGGCGGGGCCTTTTGCCCAGACTGGCCGACTCTCCAAACAGGGCAGGCAGGCGGGTCGCTGCTTGTAAATCCATGTGGCGGGGGCTGTGGACTCTGATAGCCCGCGCGGCACGTGGGCCTATCAGGTGGGGAGACCTAGGGAGGGGGTGTGACAGCGTAGGGCGCTACTTGGGCCCCAAACCCTCTCCCTAGGACATGGGGACCCAGTTCCCTGCGGTAGAACCACCTTTCGCCTTCCTCTAAACCCCAGTCTGTTCATCCCTCTGCCGCAGAGCCGACATCTGGGTCAACTTATGCTCCAAGAGACCTCAATCCAGTCATCTTCTGGCCTCAGACCCTCCAATCTATACATCCTTTAGCCGCAGAACTTCTACTTGGGGCATCTTCCGGCCATCGAACCCTCGATCCACCTGCCACTCTGGTGGCAGAGCTCAGATGCACTGACTCTTCTCTCCAGTCCTAGATCGTGCACGCGCCAGGGCAGCGGCGCCCCGGCCCCCAGTTCCGGGTCCACTATCTTCGCTCTGAGCTCTGGCCAAGGCCGCTGCGGCATTGCGGTGATCCGAACCAGCGGCCCCTCCAGCGCTCACGCCCTCCGGAGCCTCACGGCGCCCCAGGACTTACCCCCCGCCCGCAGAGCCTGTCTGCGCCAGCTCAGCGACCCCTGCTCTGGGGAGCCTTTGGATCGCGCGCTGGTGCTTTGGTTCCCAGGTGATGGGTGTAGCTCCTGTAACCCAGCTTCCTCTTTCCGCTTTTACCCAGGCTGTATCCTCCTCCTGACACATCTCCTCACCACACTAGGTCCCCAGAGTTTCACGGGTGAGGATTGCGCGGAGTTCCACGTGCATGGAGGCCCGGCGGTGGTGAGTGGCGTCCTGCAGGCCTTGGGTGAGTCTGCAGCCTTGGGTTTAAGGTATGGTTATGCTGGTGGGCCTGGGTAAGGGCCAAGGTCTCAGGATTCCTAGACCTTCCCGCAGGCAGTGTACCAGGGTTACGGCCGGCAGAGGCAGGGGAGTTCACCAGAAGGGCGTTCGCCCATGGGAAGCTGAGCCTGACCGAGGTGGAAGGGCTGGCGGATCTGATCCATGCAGAAACTGAGGCGCAGCGGCGGCAGGCCCTGCGGCAGCTGGATGGGGAGCTGGGCCACCTCTGCCATGGCTGGGCCGAGATTCTTACTAAGGCAAGTACACGGTTCACTCGTATCTTGCCTCAGAGATCCTACCTAACTGTACCCTGCATGAGAGCTTCCGGTCTATGAGCCTTCTATCTGGCCCCGTAGGTCAGGCTGGACTTGGGCACATTGGGGAATGGGTTCCTGGGTGATCACACTACCTCCCCCCAACCCAGGCTCTGGCCCACGTGGAGGCCTATATCGATTTCGGTGAGGATGACAACCTGGAGGAGGGCGTCCTAGATCAAGGTGGGTCTCCCTGATGGTGGGAGATGGGGATATATCGTGTCTCAGCCTCCAGAGGCCCTCTTACTCCCTCTCCTCTGCTTCCCTTTATCCATAGCTACCAGAGAAGTGCGGGAGCTGGAGGTGGCACTGGGAGCACATCTTCGAGATGCCAGGCGCGGGCAGAGGCTCCGCTCAGGGGCACACGTAGTGATTGCGGGACCTCCCAACGCTGGCAAGAGCAGCCTGGTGAACCTGCTCAGTGAGTGGGCAGGGGGCGGGGCCCGGCCAGGCAGGGAGATGGGCTAAGAGCTAGGATACTGAGCTTTCACGAGTGGGGAAGGGGGCGAGGAGGTAGAAATCTTGGTCCAGCCGAGGGCTGGAGCCTGAGGGAGGGACTCCTTCGCCTCTCTCCCCACCCCCGCCCTCCTTCTGACTCCACCCTCCACCCCAAGGCCGGAAGCCTGTGTCCATCGTGTCCCCGGAGCCAGGGACAACCCGAGACGTGCTGGAGACCCCCGTGGACCTGGCCGGGTTCCCTGCGCTGCTGAGCGATACGGCGGGGTTACGGGAGGGCGTGGGGCCTGTGGAGCAAGAGGGCGTGCGGCGTGCCCAAAAAAGGTGGGAAGCAGGGCAGAGGGAGTGGGAAATGGGGCCCTTCCTCTGTAGTTACTCCCTGTTGCATTTATTTTTCACTCTTCCTTAATGAGGAAAGGCTGCTAAGTGTCCGTTAAGTGGGGACTCAGCTATTTGCGGAGGACAGCCTTTTAAGTTTGGCTCACGCTCCGCCCCCACCGAGGGCCCTTCATTGCTCAACTCTGGGGTCACTGCTGCGTTTTCCCATTCCCCCAGGCTGGAGCAGGCTGACCTCATTCTGGCTGTGCTAGATGCTTCTGACTTGGCCTCTCAGTCCAGCTGCAACTTCCTGGACACCGTTGTCATCCCCACGGGAGCCAGGAGCCCCAATCCGAGTGGCCAGCGTCTCCTGCTGGTGCTGAATAAGTCAGACCTGCTGCCCTCCAACGGCCCAGACCCCAATCCTGACCTGCCCCCCCACCTACTGCTGTCCTGCCTGACCGGCCAGGGGCTAGACGACCTCCTGGAAGCACTGAAGAAGGAACTGGCTATATTGTGAGCAAGCCCCCCACCCACTTTGCCCAGTGCACAGCCTCCCTCTATCCAAAGGTCAGGGGCAGAGCCACTGGCTTTGGTCACAAACCTGCTCTGCTGGCTCAGTTTCAGTATCGAAAAAATGGGTCTGACCATCCTCACTTTGAATGTTCAGAGACACCATCCTTTGTCCCTTCCAGGTGTGGGGACCCATCCACAGGCCCACCACTTCTGACACGGGCGAGGCACCAGCATCATCTCCAGGGCTGTCTGGACGCCCTTGGCCACTACAAGCAGGCGAAAGACCTAGCCCTGGCAGCCGAGGCACTGCGGGTCGCCCGAGGACACCTGGCCCGCCTCACCGGTGGAGGGGGTACAGAGGAGGTCCTGGACATCATCTTCCGGGACTTCTGCGTGGGCAAGTGAAGGGGCAGCCAAAGCTCGGACGCAGGCAGAGTGGACATCAGGAAGCCTTGCGGCATCTGGGAACAGCTTAGGCCAAGTAAGAGTCTTATCCCTTCAAGGAAGAACTTGAACCCAAAGCAGTGGTACCTCTGATGCTGGTGGTGACCAAGCTGCAGCCAACTGGATTCCCTAGCAGGGACTTCTGGGGGCTCAGGCCCTGGAGTGGGGCTGAATGGAGGTCCCTTTGGGCACCTGGTGCTGGGGGAGTAGGAGTGGAGGATTGGGACGGAAGTCGGAGGATCTCAGGGGTCTTTGTTTCATAGTTTTTCATTTATTTTGCAAATACCAAAGAAATATAAAAAACTCAGATGATACAGAAACATTTAAACAGCCCCATTCCCTGGGGTCACGGCTTAACTGGTATCCTTCCAGAATTTTCTCTGCATGTTTGCACACTTGAGGATGCACCTCTAAAATATGTTTTTCTTGTATTTTGTACACAAATTGGTGTTTATTGCTCCGGAAGCTGTTGCTCCTTTTTCGGATTCATCTTGAAACTTTGCCTCTTGTGTCTTAAAAGTGATTTGCAAAACCCCAAGCCCTCCTTCCTCTCTAAGTTTAGTCATTCATTCATTGATTCATTCACTCACTCAGTGAACATTGATCAAGCACCTACCAGATACTAGAATCATGCACATCATTTGATTGGACCTTCATCACAGCACAATGCTGTGGGTATTTTGTTACAGTTTTACAGATGAAGAAACCAGGGCTCAGAGAAGTAGTTAGTTACTGGAGGTCCCCAGCTTTGGGATTTGCACACAGGTCTGTTTGACTGTGGGCTTTCTATGCAAAAGCCAAGTGGAGGGTGCTGGGAACACAAGAGGAGAACAAGCAGGCATCCCTTACAGTGAGTTTGCTGGACAAACTTTCGATGAGACCTGACCTGGTCAGGGACTTGAAGGCAGGCTTCCCTGCAGAGGTGACGTTTGGGTAGAGATCTGAATGGTGAGAAGGAAACCAGGTGGAAGAGGCTGTCGAGAGCATCCCAGGCAGAGGGCACAGTACATGCAAAGGCTCTGAGGTGGAAGCCTCATGATACGTTCAAGGAACAGCGAGCGAGGTGGCCAGTGTGGCTGGAGTACAGTGAGTGAGGGCTGGAAAGGAGGAAAATGAGGTCCAGGAGGAGAGGAAGGGCCTGATTCTGAGGCCTTTGATTTTGACTTACTGCAGACCTGCTGTGGTTATGATGAACCAGCAGAGGGCGCTTTACTCTAACAAAGAAGGTGCCTTACAGTCCCTCCAGCCAAGCTCCGGCCCTGTAAAGTCCCAGGGATCCCAGCTTCCACACCCACCTGGCAGCATATAGATGGTGAAGTCCCCTTGCCAGAGGCAGAAACTGAGTCTCTTGTGGGGTCAGGCTCTTTTCCAGAATCAGAAAAAAATCTCCAGCTCCAGTAGTTGAAGATACAAACTCTCCAGTTCCAGGGGACACATGAGCAGAGGCTGGGAGGCGTCCAAGGCCCACAGAGAAGCAGGGCTTCAGAAGGCTCCCACCACCCAATTAAAGGGAACCTCTGACCCCGTTTCTTCACGACTTCATTGCAATATGTCACTAATTGTTGATTTATTTCCTTCTTCAACATCTGGGGGTTCCCCTTGAATGGGGGGGCCGGGCTCCTGGAGGGAAAGGGTCACTCCGTGAGTTTAGTCCATGGCTATTACTATTATGTCCATTTTGCAGAAAGACAAAAAGAAGCAGCAGCAATAATGGGCTAGACGGGGTGGGTAGCCAGATGTCCTCTGAGTGGGGAAGGTCTGGAGGGCTCCCAGGAGGGGTGAGTGGGGCCTACATGGGGAGGGAGACACTCTTGGGGAAGGATGCTTGGGCTCTGCCTGCCTACCCTAGTCCCTGGCACATGGCTGGACCGAGGTCCTTGGCTACATTCCCTTTTTCCCAAGAAAGGAGAGGTGGCTTATAGGAAGCAGCCATGGGGATTATTTATAGAGGTCACAGGAAATCCCCAGAGATAGAACCTCACTCAGCAACTGGATCACAGGGTCAGGGAGGGAGCCTGCCAACTGCTCCTTGACTGGTACTCAGTCCCACCTGGCCCCCAGGGGGCCACCAGCCTGGGGAAGCCAGAGCTACAAGATCAGGGCTAGAAAGAGGGCGGGATGGGGCCAAAGACGTACCTAGAGGGATCATGAGCTATAAGTGGGGCATCCAGGAGGGCTGCCTGGAGGAGGGATCTGTAAGGCTGGGCCTTGGGGGAAGAAGAATCTGCAGGCAAGAAAAAGGCATTCTAGTCTGAGGGCACAGCACAAGGTAAGAGCCAATGAGTCAAAGAATCAAATGTCCAGGACAGTTGGAGGCAAAGACTGCCTTGTTCGTGGGGAGGCAGGGCACAAGAGAGCCCAGGAACTGGGCCTTGTTCCCATGGAAGGTGTATGAGCAGGAGAGATACACAGTCAGATCCCATGATGAGAAGATCCTCTATATCTGGGGGCCATATTGGAGGCAGAGGCTGAGGTCCAGGTGTTGGAGGACTGAGATGACGCCAGGCAGGGAATGCTCTGAATGGGAGACACCAAACAAAGTTCAGAGGCCTGTGTCCATGGGTCCAGACAGTTTAGAATGATTATTATTACACTAACTTGTAGGTGAGAAAATGTTGACTGAGCCAGAATTCGAAACCAAGAATGTCAGGCTCTGGAACCCAAATTCAGGTGTCCTGTGGCTCCTGGGACTGGGAGGTATCTGCATCCTCTCCAGGACTCCAGGCTGCTCAGGCAGTAGGCTCAGGGTCAGGGACGTCCCTGTGTCCCTGGGGCCTCCAGACTGGCCTGTCTAGGCAGCCCGGCCTGGCTGACCCTTCTACCCCGGCTTGGCGGGGCCCCAGCCGAGTGTTTCCTGCAGCGGCCTGTCTCTCGCCTGGGGTTTCCGTATCCAGGAAATATCGCTCCATTGTCCCTCTTGACTAGCCTGCCCTAAGCGTGGCGTTGCCAGCCCCGGCTCCTCATGACTCATCCCCTCCCTGTCCAAGGTCCCAGGGGATAGGCTGGGAGGGAATCAAGGCAGCGAGGACAGATAAGCTGAGATTGTAGACCACACGTTTTAGGACTTCTTTCTACAGGTGGGCATTTGCTTTGTTTCCTAGAGTTTTCACTTCTCAGGGATAAAGTCCCAGGAATGGGGTTGCTGAGTCAAAAATATGTCTGTCTTTACTTTTACTGAATATGTCCAGAAGGGCCATGATGAGATGTGCATTTCTACCAGTCCTGCAGAAAAATGCCCTTTTCTCTTCATCTTTACCAGCAGTAGGTATTATAGCTTTTAAGCATTTTTTTCCAGTCCATTGGGTGCCATGTGATTTCCCTGTATTCCTCTAATGTGCAAAACTCCCCTGGCTTCCTGCTACTTTAATGATTGGTGAGTTGAATTGCTCCCAAACTGGACACTGGTGCCTTTTCTAACATCCTGTCTCACCACAAAAAAAACCCAAACAAAACAAATGGCTGAGACTTTCGTGATTCTGTTCTGGAGTCATCTTGGCGAGGAGGAGTTCCTGCAGTTCACAACAAGCTTTGGTACCTTAGCAAATGCTGTCTGTACTTGGGGGGGATCTTTGCAAACATAGTTGCTTTTTAAGAAACTGTTTTTTATTTGTACGTGTGAGCTTATTTATGTTTTATTTATTTTATTTGTATGTTTGTATTTATGAATAATACATAAATATTTATTTGTTTTTATTGTATTTGTGTGTATTTGTATTATTTAATTTGTATGTGTGTATTTATTTGTTTTAAGAAATTGCTTTTAAAATATCTGCTATTTTAAAGAAACATTAAACTGACAGTAATATTGTCCCACTGTGGGGGTTTCTAGCCATTTCATGAAACCCTTATTGACTATGATTTTGCCATTTCTCTTCACATACGGAGATGCCTATGCGTTGGGGTGTGTCTGCCCACGTTTGTTCCAGGTTTAAGGGTCTTCTGACCTGGGGATGTTGGGGAAGGTGTTCTCTAGCTTTCCTTTTATTTCTAGTTCTTTTCTCATTCATAGCCAGGTGGTAACTTTTCAAAGCAGAAATCATGACTCGGAGTCTTTGAAGGGATTTGATAACATTTATTTTGTGCCATTAACAATTATACAGGCCACAGACTAGGCGGAGTGTGGAGGGGGAGGGAGTGAAAAGGCAGCTGCCCTCCTGGGGCGCGGAGGGGGCCAATAGGCCATACTCACCCCTTGACCAGATGCTCCCTCTTGAGGAGGGCCTGGAAACTGTCAGGGGAGGATGAAGGTAACCATCTTGCTGGGAGCGCCTTGGTCCATGAGCATAGAGGGGCATGACTTTGGCCGAGGGTTAGGCAGAAAGTGTGTGTGTGTGTGATTTCACCATGCATCTGTGTGATGTCATTGCCTTGTCTCGGTGTGACGTCACCACCATGCCTGTGTGATGTCATCATGGTGCTTGTGGGTAAGGGGTTGTGTGGTGCAGGTGTGGACCTGTGAAAGAGTATTGGGAGGTGTGGGTGTGGGGTGGGGGAGGATGAGCAGAGGGCGCAGGTCAAGGGTGCCCACTTTGGTGTGTAGACTGAAGATCATATGACTTGGTCCTGTGCTGTGGGCATCTCGCTGCACCTTGTCTCCAGACAGATGAGTCAGGGCCACCCCTCTGTCCTCAGGGCCTGGAGCCTCCTCAGCCACTGGGGCAGGAAGGAGGTGGGAATACAACAGTCGGTCAGACAAATGTAAGGACAAACTCCCCACCCCAGACCCCTTCTTGCTCCCAAGACCTTAAGGTCTCTTCAGGTTTCAGCCTCCCCTTAGACTGCTACTTGTTGAACCTCTGTGGGAGGAGTCTGTGGGACGGTGACTGTGATGTGTGCTTCTCCACTATACAGATGAAAAGACGAGGTTCAGAGAGGCCACCTCCTCCTGTGCTCCAGGCCTCTGCTGCAGTCTGTCTGACTCTCCCTTTTGCTCCCTAAAGTTCTGGGGATGCTGGGAGTTTGCCCAAAGCCCCTGGCCCCCCTACCTCCAGCCAGAGCCTCAGTTTCCCTCTTTTGTCTACAAAGAACTGACTTAGAGCTGGCCCCTCACTCATTCCCAGGTAGGGTTTTTCTTTTTCTTTTTTTTCAGGTTTTTTTTTCCTTATTTATATTTGTGAGCTGGACTTTTTGTTTATTTTGTTTGCTTGTTTTGGGAGGAAGATAATTAGGTTTATTTATTTATAGTGGAAGTTCTGGGGATTGAACCCAGGACCTCGTGGATGCTAAGCAGGCACTCTACCACGGAGCTATACCCTGCCCCCCAGGAGGGTTTTTCTAAAGAACCTGCCCCTACTCTTGCACTTCTTTGGCTCCCCAGTGCCCTCAGGACAAAGCCAGACCTGTATCTGGCATTCAAGGCTCCACTCACTCAGCCCCTAATCCGGCCTCCCCATCAGGGAATCAAAACCTGCCAAAGTACCCCTCAAACTAATCAGAGCCTTTCCTTGACTTCTGCCCCTCCCCCTTGCCTTTGCAGGAGCCACCCCTCTGTCTGGAATGCCCTTCCCCCTCCTTGGCCTGGCAAAAGTTCTCCCCAGGGGTCAGGGGTTGGCGCAGAGGCTGTTTCCTGGTGGGGGAGGTGGGGGCCTCAGCCAATTCCCGCTTCCGCTGGCCCCCTCCCTTCCTTCCCTGGCTCTTCCCTGGGCCACCACCCCACCCCCTGCAGCCTCACGTTCCTTGGCTGGCTCTGGTCCCCCTTTCTCAGCTCCAGCCTCTGTCTTCTACCAGGATTCACCAGCTCCAAGTGAGACATTCCTTACCCTCTCCTGCCTGCCAGCCTGCAAGGGAGGGTGATCCCTGGCCATTTTCAGAGACTGAGGCTCCTAAGTCCCATCACTTACCTGACCAAGGCAGTTGCCTTCAGCCTGGTCCCAGGTTCCCACCTTCACCGCCCCCCCCAATAGCAGCGATCAGAATGAGCCTGTGACTATACCTGAGTTGGGTCCATCCTCTGCTGTTTATAGCCCTCCCTGGGCTCCCAAACTCCTCACACAGCCACCAGGCCATGCCCGATCTGCTCCTGTCATCTCCCCGACCTCACCTCCTCCCACTTCCCTCCATCACTCTGTTCCAGCCACACTAGCCTCCTCACTCCAACTTACCAGGCACAGACAGCCCTGCCGCGGGGCCTTTGCAGACTGTGCTCACTGTCTGGTGCACCTTTCCCAGAATCCCCTCACCTCCTTTAGGATTCTGCTCAAATGACACCTCCTTGGTAAAGCCTGCCCTGGCCTCCCCCATGGAATATTCCCATCTCCTCAAGCTTCCTCATTCCTGTCTCACCCATCACCAAGGGGCCCTGTAGTGGCTCATTTATCTGATTTGTTATCCATCTCCCTCACTAGACTGTGAGCCGCACAAGGGGAAGGATTTGGATTGCTGTGCCTTATTCTTCCCTGTGTCCTCAGCACCCAGCAGCTGCTCAAGAAACATGGGTTGAATGAAAAAATAAATCAGTGAACCTGAATTGACACTTGCTGTGTACCCAGCTCAGAGCCAGGGCTGAAAGCTCATCTTCAACCTTCCACGTTGTGATTTTTGCCGCCTCAAGCCACATAGCCTCTAAACCAATGTTCACTTAATATTTGTCGTGTCCATGACTTTTTTTTTTTGACTTAAATAAGCTGATCTCCAAAGGACAGTCTTACCAAGTAAAGGAAAGCTGGTGCACTTGTCATGAATAAAGAACAACTTATAAACGTTCAATTAAAAAGCAAGACCTTGCGAGGGGAGGGTATAGCTCAGCAGTAGAGCACATGCTTAGCATGCACAAGGTCCTGGATTCAAGCCCCAGTACCTCCATTAAAAACCTACCCCTGCCAAAAAAAAAATAAAGCAACACCTTGTACTTGTGCGGGCCCTGGGTCTGCCCTCCCTATGTGGACACGGGAGAGCTGAAGGGGTCTGGGAGGTGTTAGGGTGAGTTAGCACCAGTGGAAACTTTCTCGAAGCCCAGGAGGAAAAAGAGTGGGGGAAAAAAATCAACAATTCCTCCAACGGGCGAATGATTTGATGCTGGGATGCTGGGCCTCCTATCTGGTCCCCTACCGGGTGCCTCTAAAATTCGCATGTTACAATTTACTCGTTCCCTGGCTGCCCAGTGTGTGCCTGGCCGAGCTGGGACTCATCCAGAGCTGAAGACCCCAGCCTGTTCATCCCAGCCCCTTTCTCAGGGGAAGACGAATCAAGGTTGGAGCCCGCAGGCCAGAGGCCCTTCCTGTGACCCTGCAGAGAGGAGCAGGAGGGGCTCTGGGCTTAAGCACGCATTGTTTCCTCCACAGGGGGATGTCACTTGGGGTAAACAATGTCAAGAGCTTTCCCGGTTCTCAGCTGGGACCTGGACAGGCCTGGGCTGGGCGCCTGGCTCCGATTCTGACCTGCTGACGCATGACCCTGGGCTGATCACTTCCCTGGGGCCTCAGTTTCCTCCTCTGAGAAATGGGGATAATAATAGAACCTCCTTCCTTGCCTTGCTGGCTTTAGGCCAAGATGGAGTGAGGAAAACTATGTTTGCTTGGAGCAGGGTCTTTTCTCTACCCACTTGCTTCCCTCTCTGGGGGCTGCCTGAGGCTAAGGGATTTCTCCCAGGCCAAGCCATCCAGAGTGCAGGGACCAGTTCTGCAAGGGGGTGAGCTCCCTGTCAGAGGGGGTATGTAAGAAGAGACATAGTGAAGACAGAACTGAGTGGAGAACACCGGGGAGTTGGTGACAGACCTCTGGAAGGTTTTTTGGCCCCCAAGGACTTTGTTGAGCTCCCTCAGGCTGAAACAGACCCAGGTTTTGACAATAGCTTGGTGGCAAAACCTTGGATGGTACAGGGTTTGGGGTCAAAGGGATCTGAAAAAAATCCCAGATGCCTCCTTGAGCCTCAGGTCCTAATCCACAAATGGGAGGGCCAATCTGGGACTCCTATGTCAGCAGTGTGGTCCTGAAAGGGCCCTGGAGGGAGCACAGGGTGTTCTTGTGGCCGTGGCCTGAGTCACCTTCCCCGTGACGCACAGGGTGTTGTCCAGCGGATGACTGGGTTCCAGGAGGCAGTGAGGGGGATAAAGGCATCGAGCTATGACCTGAACGTGTGCCAGCCACCCTTGATGCTCCTGCAGAGACCCCAGGTCCCTTGCTCTGGCCATTTGTGGAAAGCACTTTACAGTTGGCACAGCATTTCATGCCCTTCATTTCAGAGACCCCCTTTTTGTAGAGGTGGAAAGTGAGGCTCAGGGGGAGGGTATAGCTCAGTTTAGAGTGTGTGCTTAGCATGCACGAGGTCCTGGGTTCGATCCCCAGTACTTCCATTAAATAAGCAAATAAATAAACCTAATTACCTCCCCGGTCAAAATAAAAAAAAAAGAAGAAAAACAAAACAAGTAAGACTCAGAAGGGTGGAATGAGAGGCCCAGGGTCACTCCCCAACTCCGCTCTCCCTTCTCTCCTGCCTTGGCTCCTGTCACCTTCTGCCACTCTAGTCTGGCCCCAAGACCTTTGCTCTGGCTGTTCATGGCACTCTGAGTGCTGGTCCCCTCAGCCTTTCTCCAGGTTGGCTCCTGTCCAACCTCCAGCTCAAGGGCCCCTTCCTCACTGAGGCCCTCCTTTGGCTGTCTGGAGTCAGCACCTGAGTTTATGTCTCAGCTCTGCCACTTCCTGACTGTGTGACCTGGGGCACAATGTTTACCCTCTCTGGGCCTCATTTGCTTCATCCAGAAAGTGGGGATAACAGTAGCTCTCCCACTGATTGGAATTCTGAAGATTTTTTTGGGGGGGTGGGGGACTTATTAGGTTTATTTGTTAATTTTGACGGAGGTACTAGGGGTTGAACCCAGGACCTCGTGCATGCTAAGCACACACTCTACCACTGAGCTATACCCTCCCTCCAGATTTCTGAAGATTAAATGAGTTAGTCGGGCAGGGTGCTTAGGACAGTGCCAGGATCACAGTAAGCGCCCAATAACGGTAGACTCTTGGACACCCTTCTTATCCTACCTCCTTCAGTGTCTCTCTGGCCCAGTATTCAGGGAGTTTCATGAACAGAACTGTGTGTGTCTTGGTCACTGTTGTGTCCCCTGGGCCCAGCATAGGGCCTAGTATACAGCAGGTGCTCAATTAAGGAAGCAACAAGTGTGAGACGAGCATTGCTCCACCCTAGTCCTGTACGCAGCCTCATCCAAAGCCCTAAGACTGAACTGTCTCAGCCTGCCCGAGAGCCTCACCTGGATGAGGCTATGGAGCTACCGGCAGAGGGCCTCTGGGACTCCAGGATCCTCCTCTTGAATTCCTCCAGGCCAGCTGGGTCTGCCAAAAGAGAGAGGGGTCAGCTCCGACCTAATGCCTTAGTAGCTCCAGCTCCTGGGCTAGAGATGGGCCTGCAACCCAGGATTCAATGTGGAATCTGCCCCTCTTTCCTGGTTCTGCCCTCTGTCACTCACCGATGGGTGGGGGGTTGGGGACAGGGACCACAGGTCTTGGCAAGGGTATCGGCTGCGACTGTGGAAAGAAGGATGAAAAGAGGTTGGTGGAGGCCCCTGAACATGCATCCCGGGGAGGCTCCTGCCCCTCCACGCCCTTGGAGACCTGGGTCTGAGTTCCCTCCAGGGCAGAGAAACAGACAGATACCCACGGAGAAGGACACATGTGATATCACCTGTAGCCACCTTCCTCAAATGACTGGGGACTCCAGGGACGGGCTTCCCTTGGCTGTGCCTCAGAGACCCCTCTCTGCAGGGGTCCTGCCTTGGTCTCCATTACAGCCTCAGGGCCAACCTGACTCCAATCCATGACCCCAGCTGAGTACATTCACCCAAACCAGCTTCCCTCTGGACTGATGCTAACCTGTTCTGTAAACCAACCTGACCTCCATCCTCAATGCCATCCTTGAACAACCCTGAACTAAACCCCCTAAGCCTGAAATCCAAGGCCAGTTCTGAACTCAATCAGCTAAAATCTGTTCCCAACATGAAAACAGAACCTTCCTCAGAATCAAACCCTGACCTAAATCTGGTCCCAATGACAAACCTGACTTGGCCATAACTTTCATCTAACTCTCTTTCATCTAACTCATCCCCCTAGACCCGGCCACTATGAAAAATCTACTCCCAATCCCGTTCCCCCAGCCCCAGCCCTGGGCTCCACTATGGCCACCCACAAATACCTTCCCAACACCATGCTCAAGGCCAGCTCAGCCTTAGAACTCAGCCTCTACCTGAGCCGGAACCCCAACCCAGCTCCAGCCCAAGATTACCAACCACACAGCTTCTACTCTACACCCAGTCTTGACCTTTATGTGAACCCCAGTATATCCCTCTCCTAAGTCAGGGTCAGCTAATCCTTCACCTCAAATATATCCCAAAGCTAGCCCAACTCAACCCCCAACCAGACACCCTAAACCCAATCCAATCTCAACTCCTAACATAGTCAATGCCAATCCCAACCCTAATGCCCATGTAATCCTGAATCTACTCTTGGCCCCAAACTTTCAAGCATCTCTAGACCCACCAGCCACCTACACTCATCTGAGCCTCAACTTAACACAATCCCAAAGCCACTGAAACTTTGGATTCCTTTCTCACCCGACCCTAGACCCAACGGCTACCTTGCAAGCGACCCCCTGACCCAGCTATTAGTTTTTCCTCATAATACAAACTCCAAACTCAACCCAGTTCTAAGACTAATGAAATCTTAAATGGAACCCCTAATCTTAACCCAAACCAACTCTAGATATAGGAGTCGCCAAGAATTCAAGTCCACTCAGTTCTAAACACAAATTTAGCACCTGCTTCGAGTCTTTCTCTAGATCTGCCTTAACCTTTACCCTAACCCCAATGTCACTCCCAACTCTAACCCAGAGCCCCTCGATGCTTCAGCTCAACTCAAACGCATCCCAACCCTAAAACCAGCCCTCGGTGAATCTCTAATTCAAATCCTAAGCCAATTTTGAGGCTCACCAGTCATCTGTGTTTGATTCTAGCATCTATTCTAAATCCACATTCAGTGCCTTAACTCAACCCACTCCCAAAGTAACTGCAATTTTATTCACCCGTCACTCAACCCTGGACCCGACAGCCACCCTACCTTCAACTCCAGTCATAACCCCACACCCTTTCTCAGTGTTGATCCCCATTCTCAACTCCTCCCCAATCTTAATGTCAGTGAAAGTCTCGAGGGAGTCCTAACTTACACAACCTAGACTGGGAAGCCGACCTCAAAACCAAGTTAAAAAAAAGCAATAAACACTCCCCACTAAATTCAAACCCAAGTCCAACATCACCACCAACCCAACTTGGCCTCTAGACACCTCCCCCTCAGTGCAACCTGAATCCAGGGCCCGTCAGCCCACCTTGGCCTTGATGCATGTGTCCAGGGCCGAGTTGCTGACGGCCAGTTGCATCTTGAGATGCTCAGCCTCTCGTTTCTTCTCCTCTAGCTCTTTGGCCAGGTTGTCCCGCTCCTTCCGCAGTGTCGCCTTCTCCTCCAGGGCCAGCTGGGTCTGCCGGGCACATTCGGCCTGGAGCTTGGCCTCCCGGGCCTGGGCCTCCTTCTCCACCTTCTCCTTGGCCTCCTGACTGGCTCGCAGGGCCTGCTCGACCTCCAGCTTCTGGCGCTGGAGATCCGAGTTTTCTCGGGCCACGCGATCAATGCCAGCCCGCAAGCTCCGGGCCAGCTCCTCCACCTTGGTGCTCATGAGGGCAGGCATCTGGTCACAGATTCTCCGGATGGAGGCCACTTCTGAGCCGATGGGATGGAATATGCCGTAGCCCAGGTTATCAAGGGAGCGTGGGATGATGGAGTCCCTCCAGAGTCTGTACAGCTCTGCCTCAAACTTGTCCTTATCCAGAGGGAGGCAGAGGGTCTGCACCCGCTGCAGCTGGTTCTCGGCCAGCTGTCGCTCCTGCTGCTGCTGTTCCCGGGCTTTGCTGCACTCGGCCAGCTGCTCCTCCACCACTCGCTTGCCCAGTGCCAGGCCATCCTTGTCTTTAGTGCATATCACCTTCTCCTTTGCCAGCTCCATCTCCAGTGTCTTGGCTTTCTGGTTCAGCATGAGGGTCAAAGCTATGGGTATAGGACGATAAGACTCAGGAAGGTTGCGGGAGTTGCCAAGAGACTGGGCGGGGTGTCTGCTAACCCGCTCTCTGCTGCCCACAGCACTCACCTTCGCAGGACTTGTTAGTCTCCTTGAAATGTTCTTGGCATTGTTTCTCACTCAAGATGATGGCGGCCATGTACCGCTGGTTGTTCATGTAGATCACCTGCCCAGATGGGACACAGGACAGAGCTCAGTGACCAGCTCCTGCAGGACCTCCTGCCTCCCTGGGCTGCCCAGACCCTTAGGGCTGGGGCCCCAGATCTGGTACCTGGGTGGTCTGTGTTGGCATAGTTTCCAAGAACATGGCTTCTTTGCAGGGGATGGTGGGCCAATCTTCAAAAGTTGTTACGATGAATACTATTTGGCCATAAAAAGGAACAAAGCTACATGCTACAACCTGGATGAACCTTGAAAACATTAATTCCCATTGACAGCCAATCAAAAACTGACTTTTGACAAGGATGCAGATATGGGCTGAATTGTGTCCCCCACCTCAAATTCCTGTGTGGAAGCCCTAACCCTCGGGACCTCAGAAAGTAAATGTATTTGGAGACAGAGTCTTTAAAGGGGTGGTTAAGAGGAGGTCCTTAGGGTGGGCCCTAATCCAGTATGACTGGTGTCTTTATAAGAAGAAGTCTGGACACCCAGACATGCACAGAGGGAAGATGATGTAAAGACACGAGGAGAAGACAGCCGTCTACAAGCCAAGGAGAGAGGCCTGGAACAGATCCTTCCCTGATGGCCCCAGGAACAAAACAATTCTGCCAATATCTTGATCTCGTGTATGGGCAAAAATAAATTTCTGTTATTTAAGCCACCTGATCTGTGGTACTTTGTGAAGGCAGCTCTAGCAAACATACACAGGTGCCAAGATCATTTCATGGGAGGGAAGAGTCTTTTGGACAAATGATGCTGGCACAGCGGGACAGCCATGTACTAAGGAATGAATTTGGACCTCTACCTCACGCCGTATACAAAAATTAGCTCCAAATGGATCTAAGACCTAAATGTAAAGGCTAGAACTATAAAACTCCTTAGAAGAAAACATAAGTGTTCAGTCTGCATGGCCTTGGATTTGGCAATGGTTTCTTAGATATGACACCAAAAACACAAGCAACAAAAGACAAAAAAACGGATAAATTGGACTTCATGAAAATTAAAAACTTCTGTGCTTCAAAGGATAACGTCAAGAAAGGGAAAAAACAACCCATAGATGGGAAAAATCTCACATAGCTCATGTTTGCAACTCATGTATCTGATGATGAGACTAGTAAACAGAATATATAAAAGCAAACTTTTTCAAATCAATAAGAAAATGACAATCCCATTGAGAAATGGACAAACACGTTTGACTGGACATTTCTCCCGAGAACATATACAGAAGGTCCAGAAGCACATCAAAAGATGTTTAGTCATCAGGAAATGCAAATGAAAACCATGAGATACTACCTCACGATCTTTAGGATGGCTATAAATAAAACAAAAAATAAGAATAAAAGGATTTGTTATCAAAAGCAAAAAAACAAAAAACAAAAAAACCAACAACCAAAACCTAAGTTAAAAAAAAATTACTGATTTTTTGGAGTGGGTACAGCTCAGTGATAGAGCACATGCTTAGCATGCATGAGGTCCTGGGTTCAATTTCCAGTACCTCCACTGAAAAAAAAAATTTTCTAAATTTTAAAAAGATTGGTTATCAAAAAATAAGAATAGATAGTAAAAATATTGGTGAAAGATGTGGAGAAACAGAATTCTCAGGCAGTACTGACGGGAATGTAATGGTGGGACCACTTGGGAGAACAGTCTGGCAGTTTTTCTAAAAGCTGAACATAAAATGACAATATGACCCAGCAATTCCACTCCTAGGTGTAGACCCAGGAGCAACAGAAGTGTATGTTCCCGCAAAAACTTGCACACAAACATGCAGAGCAGCACGAGTCACCAGAGCCAACAGGTAGAAACACTCCAAGTGTTTCATCAGCAGATGAATGGATAAAACAGTCCATAGAGTGGACTATTATTCAGCCACAAAAAGGAATGAAACCCTGATGCACAGGACAACGTGGATGAACCTTGAAAACAACATGCTGAGTCCGAGAATCCAGACCCAAAGATCACAGAACGTATGATTCTGTTTAGACTCAATATTTAGAATAAGCAAATCTGTAGAAACAGAAAGCAGATTAGTGGTTGTCAGGGACTGGGGGCGGGGAGGACAGGAAATGGCTACTAACGGGCACAGGGTTTCTTTTTGGGGTGATGGAAAGGTTCTAAAATTAACTGTGATGGTGGTTGCACAACTCTGTGAATGTACTAAAAATCATTTTTATGTCCACTTGAAATGGGCCAATTGTATGGCATGTGAATGGCATTTTTATAAGTTTTATTAGGTTTTTACAGACAAAGGTTGTGCCTTTCAAACTTTGGAACAGAACCCGCTGCAGAAGTATAACAAGTCAAGATGTGATTTCCAGCAACATAGATGGACTTAGAGATGATCATATTGAGTGAAGTCAGACAGAGAAAGACAAATGTATGATATCACTTATATGTGGAATCTAAAAAAAATACAAATTCTGTTTATAAACCGAAAACAGACTCATGAACATTGAGAACAAACTATGGTTACGAAAGGGGAAAGGGCGGGGAGGATAAGTTAGGGGTTGGGGATTAACAGACATACATTACATATATAAAATAAACAAAGAGAATTATGTTCAATTTCTTGTAATAACATATAACGAAAAAAATCTGAAAAGAAAAAAAAAGTATGTATGTGTATAACTGAATCACTTTGCTTTACACCTGAAACTAACATTGTAAATCAACTACACTTCAATTAAAAAAAAATGAGCAAGTCAAGGTGTGAAGAGCCTAGAGGGTTTGCCTTTCTGTTGCTTCTTGTCCTGATTGCTTTGGAAGCTGGCCCTGTGCTAACCACTGGGGGTTGGGAGAAGATAGAATTAGCTCTGAAAATTTCAGTGACTTCTGCTCTCAAAAGCCTTAACTACAGAAGGGAAAGATCTGCAGGTGTGAGCTGGATCCAAAGATGGGCAAGAAAGAAGTTCTCTTCCAGTCAGAGGAAGTGACAAAAAGTGGCCCCCAAATGCTGCTTCGCTCTCCTGTATGCAACCCCAGGTTGGGGTCCTGGCGCCTTGACACAGGCAGGGGTGGGGCATACCCTAAAAAACCCCCACTGAGTTAATCTCCCCTTTCTCTTCCAGGGTCTCAGGGCCAGAAATGACGTTGCATTTGTAGAGAACTTAAAAATCCTGTTTCATAACAACACCAGGATTGGAGAAAGACCAAGATTCGTACTTGCTACCATCAGACTCCTGGGGCTGCCTGTGGAAGGGGTGGCAGGGGTTGAGGCTATTTCCCAGCACCAGCGCCCCCTTCCTGGGGGTTTCTGAAGAAAACCCTTAGGGATTCCAGGCCAGAGGAATTTGTCAACTTGAGAGGGGAAAAAAACCCTATAATTTTCAAATTATAAAGTTGTAAAGACCCAGAATCTTAGATTTCTAATATTCTAAGATGGGGGAGTCCAGGATTCCAAGATGCATGGGAGTGTCTCAAACTTTATGATCCTAGCATTCCTCATGGCTCCTGGACCGGAAGGCCGTGCGTGTCCTGAAAACTCCAAATGGGCCAATTCCCGGAAACTGAGAAGTTCGAGCCCCTCTACTCCAGCCTTGGGGGATTTGAGGGGGTACATGGCCCTCTACCCTCTACCCTGAGGATCTGAGGGGGGAGCTGCCTCCTTTGGGGGGGGTTGGGTGGGGACTCACCTCATTCTGAGGATCTAAGGGGGACTTGCCCTTCTCTGAGGATCTGAGCAGGGGACTTACCCCATTCTGGGGGTCTGAGAGGGAACTGCCCCACCCTGGGGATCTAAGAGCGGGAGACACAATCCTTCCCTTCCCTGGGCAGGTCTGAGGGGACGCTTGCACACCCTTCCACACCCTTCCTGCCAGGTGGCGGGGGCTGGGTAGTCTGAAGCCCCAGAAAATGCCTTTCCTTCCCACTGCCCCCTCCCCAACCAGCCAGATGCCTCCTGTGGGCGAAACCGAGACTGCCCCCATCCAAACTTCCCTTTCCTTGACCTCTCTGTCCTTCACCCCATTCCAGCCAAGGCCTGAGGAGGGGCCCCTCTCCTCAGTGTCTCCCAGCAGCAGGATCTCCCAAAGGAATTGCGTGTGTGAGAACATGGGGACAGTGTTGAGTGAGTCTGACGGGATCTGGGGGTGGAGAGGGTGGCAGTCTCTACAAGACCCAAGGCCACTGGTGTCTGCCCTCCCACTCCCCTCGAAAGCCTCCTCTCTCAGGTCTCCATCTCCCTGTCCACAGAAGGGTTTAGAGACTCTCCCTACCTCTTGGGATTCAGTGAAGCGATAACATTTCCAAAGCAGACTCCCAGCATCAGGCAAATCTAAGCCATTCATACTTGTTATTACAGAGTAAGAACCAAATGCTCTGAGTATTTATTAAGCCAGTTTTTACTTGCAGCTGGTGTGTGCTGGCACATTCTGGGTGTTTTATGCCTACTAAGTCATGAACCCAGGCCTGTGAACAGACCAGATGCCCAGTTAAACTTGAATTCCAGGTAGACAACAAATTACTTTTTTGAGTCTAAGTATGTCCCAAATATTGCACGGGATATACTTATACAAACAAAATATGCATTGCTTAGTGATGTGGGCTTCTCATGCAAACTGTAGAGTTCGTGACTGTCCCTGTCTCATGGATGAGTAAAGTGAAGCTCAGAGAGGTGAGGTGACCACCCAGAGTCCCCAGGGCGAGTGTTCAGCCCTTACCCGGTCCGCCTGGCACTGGCGGAAGCTGGCATTGATTCGGTCCTGGTCTCGCCGGGCGTTCAGAAGCATCTGCATGATGGCATCCTTGGCTCGGGCAGTGAGGTTGAGCTCCTTGGACAGGTTGGCCTGGGAGGCCGTGAGCCCCATCACTTGGCCGAACAGGCCGTCCGCCCGGCGCTCGGTGGCCTGGAGGTTGGACTCCGTGCCCACGTGCACGTTGCCGTAGACCATGAAGAGGACGAGGCCCAGGATGATGAGGAACTGGATGAGCGAGACAAAGAGGAAAAAGTAGCGGAGATAATACCAGCATCCCCTGGAGCTGCTCCCGGACCGTGAATAGGGCCCCCCATGCTCCATCGCCAAGCCCATCTCTTCCTGGCGTCTGCCGCCCGCCGCCCGGTGCACAGCACTGCTCCGCTGGCTGGTCTGCTCTGGGTGGCGGCTGCTGCCCCTTCTAGACCTTGCCCTGGCGGGGGCGGGGGGGCGGGGGGAGTGTTTATATTACTCCTCTTAATACTTCCTCTGCCTGGCTCCTTCCTGGCCAGGAGGAAACGGGGGCTGTGGGTTATCACAACACTCCCACCCGGGCTGTGAAGGGAAGGAGGAGGGGGGCACCAAAGCACAGCTGGGCCTCTCTGATTAACACGGGTGGGGCGCCAGCTAAGTGACTGGGCTGCCTTGGCCTTGCTGAGCCTCAGTTTCCTCACCTGCCCTTGCTCTGTGCCCAGCGCTATTCTCTGCTGCGGATTATCCCCGTAGTGCGGAGGAGGACACTGAGGCACGGGCAGTAGAAGGGACCGCCTCCGGGTCTCACTCTGTCGGTTCACAGAGCTGGACTTAACTCCTGGCGGGCTGGCTACAGCCCACCTCAGGGGACAGGGCCGATTACTGGAGCTGAATTGGGAGGAGCGCTTGGCCGAGGGCCAGCACACTAGGTGCTTGGTAACCGGCACCTGAAGGCCTCGCAGAGGTTCTGATCTGAGGATGGCGGTGGTGCAGTTTCTCCGAGCTGTCATCCCACCTGATGCCCGGCTCACGTAGGCGCTTAGCAAGTGCTCCCGGGGCAGCAGCGCAAGCAGCAGTGACCTTGGGGCCGGTGTTAGCTGGAAGGAGGGGCTTCTCCTACCTGGGTCTCAGTTTCCCCTTCTGTGAGATGAAAAGGTTCCCAGGTACGGGAGCAGGAGGGGGCTGGGAGAAAGGATTTGCCGTTGCTGTTATCACTACTATTTCCTGCTGGAAACCTCATTTTCGGGCTTCGAGAGAGGGGGAAAGGGAAGAACCAGATAATGGGGGTCAAGTTTCACTGTGGGTCACTCACAGGTGGGCATGGAGGGGATTTGGGGACCAAGGAGCAAAGGATTCTGGGTATGCCCTTCTGCCCAGCCCCTCAGAATCAGGAGCTCCAGGGAAATCCTCTATGTTGGGTGATGCCAAAGCCCCCTGTAAAAGTCACAAGCCTGGCCATGTAGGGTCCTCAGTCTTGGAGAGTCAGAATGGGACACAGCCCCCAACCTCACAAGGTCAAGGAGAGCAGGAGGGTGGGAAAAGGGCAGAGGGGAAGAGGGTGAAGAAATGGAAAGTAGGCTGGACCATGGGTGTGGGACAATAAAATTGCTGTCCACTGCCTGTGGGGGACATACCAGGGTGATAGTGCTGGCATAGGGACCCAGCCCCCTAACAGCCAGGGTAATGGAGCCCGGGTAAGTTGAGCGTGGAGGGGTCCTCCAGGGTGGCGTTCATCCAGGAGGCGGGAGTTGGGTCGGGAAGGAGGAAGTTCCCAGGGGTGGGCAGGAAACCCCTGTCTGACCTTTGGCCTTTGCTGCTACCCAGTAATTCCTGATTCCGGACCCTTCCCAGCCACTACTGGGAGGGAGGAGGGCTGGGGGCTGCAAGTGGTGCCCAACCAGCTATTTCTGTAGGTTGGTCAGACCCCCCCCCCCCAGAGTTCCCTGAGCAGGAAGGGCATCTTCCATCTTCATCAGCAGGGGGCCATGTGGGCAGAGTGGATATATGGTTTCAATTTAGGGCCTCTGGAGTGAACGTCTGGCTGTGCCACTAACTGCTGTGTAACCTGGGACAAGTGACTTCTCCTCCTCGAGCCTCAGATTTTTTTCTGTCTAAAGTGGAGGCAACATAGCCAGTTGTGAAAGATTTGTCACAGTGCCTGGCACACACTCAGCCTTAATAAATAGTGGTATTTTTTTAAGGTGGGAGGGGCTGGATCATGCCCAGCTTCTGATGTTGGGCTGAAGAACTGAGACACAGGGGAGGGGCACTGCTGAGGTGCTGTTGCCTTGGGCCCGTGGGATCACCAGGGGAAAGGGGGTATGACAGGGGAAGAGCCTGGGTGACAGGGGTCCAGTTGAGGAGCTCAGGCTAGGGGGCAGTGCCTGGATCAATGCCAAGAGGTGTGACAGTCTTGGTGTGGACTTAAGATCCTTCATGATATATTGAAGGTGTGGCATATGTGTATGTATGAACATAATGTCTGTTGTCCAGGGAAAAGAAAGGCAACCATAAACTCCCAGAAACCAAAAAAGCCACTCTAAACCTGATGATGTGGATGTGCTACAGTTTTGAGCAATTGTCATAGTATAAGAACAAGAGTTTTAAATATACACACTAATGTCTTTTATATCAAGCTCAAAAATAACATTCCCTTTCTATTTGGCAATTTGATCTCACAACTTCGATTTGTGATGTTTCTTTTTCCAATAACTTGTTTTGAAAGCTAGATTTTTTTTAAATGGAAAAGATAATGATAATGATGGAACTTCCTCTTTTGCTCTACATTATGATGCTGAGATTTGTTGATTCCTTTTGACTGTTGTTTAGGTTTTTCACCACATACATTATCAATGGGCATTCAGACCGTTTCTAAATTTGTTGTTTCAGTGAACAAAATAAGACTTGATATCAAATCTCCACAAATGAAATTGCTGGGTCCTAAAGCAGTAACATTTTATATTTGGGCAGCTGTCACCAATTTGTCCTCCAAAGAGGTTGTTTCCATTGACACCCCTGCCAGTAGTGTCTAAAATTTCTAAAAACAGACTTTCTGAATATGTTCTGCCTGCATCCCTGGCCAAAAAATTCCAGAGGGAGGAGGTGAGCAACTGGTCCTCAGATTCACATGAGGTCAAATGCATCAAATGATATGAGCATTTGGTTTTTTCCTGAAAACAATTTGTCATAGTCACAGGAAATTCTGTGGATGAATCTTTCTGTATTCCCTTGGAGGGTTATCATAAAATCTGGCTTCGATTTTAAACTTTTTTAAAAATTAAAAACAATCATGTTGGTTTCATTTGATCGTTTGGGCATAGAAAGGAAAACTGCCATGGGGAAGTATACTTGGTGTCATTCTGAAAGCTGACACTGAAGTTCTCAAGGAGACACAGGGTTTTTAAAACTCTCACGGAACTTCAGAAAGATTTTTGGGGAAGTGATATTTCTGGCAAAGAAAAATTTCAGCAAAGTTCAGAAAACCCTCCACCTTTATGCCAATGTGTTCGGTTTTTGGTTAAATGCAAAGGAAATGAAGTTTTCTGCTTTTGGAGTTGACAGAAGAGACAAAGAGAGCCCTTTGGAGGGGAAGAGCCTGTCCTCCCTGGGGGTTCATGTTCCTGGCTGAAAAAAGGTGACCCACTTTCTTGCTTGGGACTGGGGACCAACAAGGTCAGATTGTGGCTGTCTCCAATGTCCTCCACCCAGCTTGTGCCAGAATTCCTGTTTCCACCCCTCCCCCACTCCTGTTTCTGCAGCCCCAGAGGGACTCCAGGGTGACCATGAATGGGGAGGCCAGAGGAGGGACCTGGGAGAGTGTGCTGGGGACAAGGTGGAGGCACAGAGGTAAAGGAGCAGAGACAGAGGCTTTGAGTGGTAATGAGACAGGTGGAGACAGGGAGGCAGAATAAAGCAAGGGCAGGCCAGGGGCTGGCCCTGTGGGGTGGGAGGCAGGTGCGGTCTGAGAGGCTGGGCAGCTAGGGGATTCTCAATCTCAGCCAGGGATTGAGAGCTGTTCTCCCGAAATTGCTCCAAATTCTCACCCATTCCCTGCCATACAACCTCCCCTCAGGATTCAGTCACCCCCACACCCTTCCCTCTCTTCTCCTGATACGAGATCTGATCGTACTCTTCCTGCTCACACACCTGCCATGGCTCCCCACTTCCCCCAGGGCTGATTTTCAGGAACCTGGCAGGTATGTCTAAGGTGAAGCCAGCAGAATAAGTGAATAATAATGATATTTTAGGTCCCATTTGCAGTCCTGAGCCCAGCCCTTTATGTGTATACTCTCTCCCTCTTTTTTCTTTCTTTTTTTTTTTTTTGGTTGTTTTTTTTCTGGGGGGTGGGGTGGGATTAGGTTTCTTTATCTTTTAAAAAAATAGGTTAGGTTTGTTTATTTTTAACAGAGGGACTGAGGATTGAACCCACGACCTCATACAGGATAAGCACTCTACCACTGAGCTCTACCCTCCCCATAGTCTTTTACGTGGTTCAGCCCTAAATCCCACAACTGCACAGTGAGATGTCTCAAGTCCCTGGGGCACCAGATAAGGCGAGGCCAATCTCAAGCTCTAGCTGACTCCAGAAGGAGAAGCCGTTTCCTGCTCACTTCCGGATTTACGCCAGAGTTGGGGCGCGGGGGTGGTGGTGAGGGTGTTGGTGGTGGGGGAGGGTAAGTCTCAGACCCATTCTCCCATCCTCTGAAGCTCTGGGCCCTCAGCCCCTAGCAACCGGGTCTGCAGACTGGAGCGACCCCTGGTGGCCGGCAGTGGAACTAGAGGCTGGACTCTTCCCTCCCTTCAGCCTCACTGCCTCCGTTGTTGGTTTGGGGGAAGTCCTCCAGTTCTCCTTCCAGGTGGACCCTCTCCCAATAAAGGCCCTGACCAGACACCTCCAAGCCACCTCCAAGGTGGGTGGGTGGATAATGAGCAGGACTGGCTGAGGCAGGATCACAGTTTCAAAGGGCTCCTCTTTCCCTCTTTACACCAGCCTCTTCAGAATTTTTTCAAAACAAATTTTAATTATTTTAGAGGTAATACATGCACATGATTTTTAAAATGCAAGCTTTACAAAAAGGTATACAGAGAAACATAAGACTCCCTCCCCTGCCAATCCCCAGATCTCTGATTCCTTTTCCAGAGGCCACAGCTGCATCCAGTTTCTTTCAGAGATACTTGGATAGAAGTTTTCCCCAGTGGCAGATTTTAAAAGACGTACACAAATTATTGCTCTCCTGCTTTATACATTAATGAGTCTCAGAGAAGATCTGCTTTGGCCTTTTTAACAGGTGTATAATATTCCATGGTGTGGATGGCCAGACACTCTTTTAAATAGTTCCCAATTGGTGGAAATTGAGATTGTGTCCCATTTTTTTTTTTGCAATTACCAAGAATTCCCTCATTCTCTCCCCTAATCCTGTCTCCTTTTTTAAAGTAAACTTTTTATTTTGGAATAAGTTTAG